GCAAACTGATGCCCAGGTGGACCCCACCTGATAACAGACAAACTGTCTCCAGTTGTCTATCAGATCAAAATCAGCAAAGGCCAGAAGGAGCCAACGGTTAAATGGGTACATCGAAACCAGGTTAAACTACACAAGGCGTTCAATAACTCCACAAGAGACAAAGATCTCACAAACTCAGACCTAGTGGGAAAAAAGGTCGTCCAAGCAGACACTAAATAAGTTTAAGCTTAACTAAGTGTTAAGATAACAACTCAGACGTGATAACGTGATCAAATCTGACAGTCAGAGTGAGTGATGCACCGAAACGTTGTTTTCTAGTTGCTTAATCACTACTTTTGTCAATGTTGAAACGTTGTTTTTCTGGTTGCTTAGTCACTATTTTTGTCGATGTTGAGACATTGTTTAATTGGTTTTTGGTATTGTTTCTGAACACCCCCAGCAAGAATGAATTTTGTGTGTACTTTAGTTAGAGACTAAGAGGACTTTAACTATGCCAACATGTAGTTCATTTGTTAAAATTCAATCTTTGCAGAGTCAATGTAGATTAATGCTACCTTAAGTGGTCTCCCGACGCTCAAGCTGAACCTACTCGAACAATCTCCTGATGCATGCTCAATAATCCAGGTAGAAAAATCCAAAAAAGTTCAATCTGGTCCTCTGGACATTCAAAAAAACAAAAAATAAAACAAAGCAAAAAAATATAGAAACGTTTCGTCTCTCATCCAAGAGACTTCCTCAGTCTGAGGTGCTGTTTTCAGCTCAGTCTCTTAAATAGCACCTTCTCAGAGTGGATCAACCAGTTTGCTGCTGACAACCAAAACCAGCTGATCACATGCTCAAGAAGGACCATCAGCCTAACAATGGATCATTAGCACACTGATGGCTGTTTACTATTCACAGAGGGCTGAGTGATACTAGCAATCACAGCATTGTAAGAGGGGGACAGTTGAACCCGGAGGCCTCCACCCCTGTTTAATGATGGACGATTTCTTTTCACAAAGATGGCCTCCTTTACTCCTCT